CCATTTCTTCAGGTTAGATAACCGGAGATAAATTGCCTGATCAAAAGTTGCACACACTTTAGGCTCTGGATAAGTAATTAGATCCAATTGTACCCAATTTACAATATATATGTGTGTATGTGTTTGGGTATAATATGTAAAATATATACTCCAACACACACATATATTATATAAGGTGTTTAGAGAGATTTATATAATAAATATATTATATGTAATTATATATGTATAAATAATATATGTATTTTATTATACATAAAATAAAATATGTGTATTTTTATTTAAATATATATTTTATATATAATGTATATTTAATATATAAATGAAATATATAAAATCTATATTTTATATATAAATAAATATCATATATTCCATATACTTAGCTATTTAAATATTATATAAATATAAAATATATAGTACATATACTATATATCTATTATATGTGTGTGTGTGAGTAGCTCTTGTGTCTTTCCCCCATATTTATCATATTTTGTTGCCAATTTGTAGAATCAGACAGTTACTATTCAAAGATGAAAGAGGAGTTAGTTCTCATATTAATATTAAAATAGTTTATATATGTGTAGAATCCAATATAGACTGAACACCTTCATTATGATTGTATGAGGTGTGTAGGTGCAAGAGATTTAGTAATTTCCTATGAATGGTTTCAAGATAAATGCCCTTGTATCCCCAAGAATTGCTAATAAAGCAATTGTCAAGATTAAATCTCAGCAATTACTCTTACTAAATGTATTTTAGTACTTTTGTTAATGACTTTGTGTTAAATCATAAAAATATTAAATACCATGTGAAATAAGCCAGACACAGAAAGACAAATACTATATGATCTTCCTTATAAGTGAAATCTAAAACATGTTGAAATCATAGAAGCGGAAAGTAGAATTATGGTTTCCAGAAGCTGGGAGTGGAGGAGAATGGGGAGATGTTGATCAAATGATTAGACAGAAACAGCGTGTTTTTGAGACCAATCAACATGGTGACTATAGCTAATAATAAAATAATAATTTAATGTATGTTGCAAAAGTACTAAGAGACTACTATAAATTCTAAATGTTTGCAGTAAAAAGTATGTAGGGTGATGGATACGTTAATTAGTTTTATCATCAAATCATGTGTATCAAAACATCACATTGTATCCCATTAATACAGACCTCCCTCAGTATCCATGGAGACTGCTTTTAGGACAACCCCCGCTCCCCCACTGTGTATACCAAAATCCATGAATGCTCAAATTCCTTATATAAAATTGTGTAGTATTTGTATATAACCTACGCACATCCTCTTGTATACTTAAATCATTTCTAAATTACTTATGATAATGAATGCAATGTATATTATATGTAAATAATTGTTATACTAAATTGTTTAGTGAAGAATGATAATAAAAATATGTCTGTATGTATTTAGTATAGATACCCCATTCTTTTTTTCCCCCCCTCAAATAATTTCCATCCCTGGTTGGTTGAATCCATGAATTCAGAACTCACAGATATGGAGGGCTGACTGTATATACAATAACTAATTGTCAATAAAAATAAAAGCATACAAATCTTACACGTCATTTAGCATTTCTTGTAGTACCTATTTCATCTGCATAAAACATAAAACTTTTTTAGGGGAAAAATGCTTTCGAACTTAATTTTTAAGGGTGGAAGCCAGTAAAATACTGTATTTTAAAATCTAGTACCCAGAGCAAGCAAAACTGGGTTTGAAACTTGGCTCTCCTGCCAACCAGTTTGTGGTCCCTAAAAACATCAACTAATTATCCCAGTTTGTGTCATCTGTGAAATGTGATTGATAATGGTACTTATGCTTTAAACTTGTGATGAAAAGTAAAGGAAGAAATGGATGTGAAAGATATTGGCAAAAATTGTGTTGATGCAGTGAACAAATTTTTTTTATGGGGTAATTTGTGTGTTTCTAAGAAGTGACCAAAGCTAACCACAGGTGTGTTTAAAATGAAATATTCTGGATAATGTTAACATAA